TCTAGAGATGGATTCTACTTAAGCTAGGTAGACATAAAATGAAACAGTTAATATTTACCCAACTTGAAAAGGTATTTAAGGAAAGGTATATTTAAGGATACCCATTAATTCTTAATTTGGGTAATAAATATTGAGCGAGAAAACCTTCTTATCACATATCAGCGGGTATATGATATGTACATGACTTACCACTGGTGATATTAGCCTTAATCACTTGGGTAAAGTGGCGTTTGCCAGGTTTCTTCATTGTAAAGTCACCCATTTTTTTTTCTTTACTTCCCATACTCTAACTTTGGATGTGAATCACTAAGCCCAGTCCACATCCAAGGGATGTTTTGTTTACTATTTATTTTGAAAACATTTCAAACTTCTGAGAAAGATACAAAGGTAAGGTGATAAACCCACACATACATTTCACCTAGATTCATCACTGATAGCATTTTCCATATATACGTTATTAATTTCTTTCTCTTGCTCTCTCTACAAAGTACATATTACTGCTATTCAAATTATTATTCTTTTCACTGAACCATTCGTGGGTAAGTTGTAGACAACATAATCCTCTATCCCAAGAATCTCAGAATGTATAGTCTAAGAACAAGGAGTTCTTCCATCACCCATAGTCAAGGAATTCTTTTATGATCAACGTAACGATCAATTTGAAGAACTTTAACACTAATGAAATAATATTGTCGAATATGTAGCCCAGCACTTCTGCTTTCGTCTGTGATGGAGTATCTGGTACTAGCTCTCTTGTCTGAGCTTTATGATTAGACGGGGCGCCTGGGTGGCTTAGTCGGTTAAGCGTCCAACTTTCGCTTAGGTCATGATCTCGCGGTTGTGGGTTCGAGCCCCGCGTCGGGCTCTGTGCTGACTGCCAGCTCAGAGCCTGGAGCCTGTTTCAGAGTCTGTGACTCCTTCTCTCTCTGACCCTCCCCTGCTCACGCTGTCTCTCTCTCTCTCTCTCCTAGAAATAAAAAATTTTTAAATAAATAAATAAATAAATAAATAAACAAACATTAAAAAAAAAATCAGAAATCTCCATTATGTTAAAACTGGTTTTTAAATGCTGACAACTAACCCAAAATTTTTTAAATGATGTGATCAAACAAACAATATCCATAAGTCAGATCTGGCAACAGGCCAACAGTCTGCACCCTCTGGTTAGAACATTCAAGGGTCAAATCTTCTTAGGCCACTGCTGATCACATCCCCACCAGGCCTCAGGGCTTGGGGCAACAGGGGTCTACCTATTGGTTCACAGGTCACAGGGGTTACCCCAGAATCTGGCCCTCAACATCCACTTGGGAGGTCACCTCAATGCCTGTCATGGAATTCTTATATGGTTCTTTTCAGGGCAGACAATGCTGCCTTACCACTTGGTAGTATGCTGCTTAGATCTAAAAACAGGATCCAGGCACCTGGCTGGCTCAGTCAGTAGAGTGTGTGACTCTTGCTCTCTGGGTTGTGGGTTTGAGGACTCCATGTGGGTGCAGACATTACTTTAAAAAATAAAATATTGGGGCGCCTGGGTGGCTTAGTCGGTTAAGCATCTGACTTTCGCTTAGGTCATGATCTCATGGTTCATGGGTTCGAGCCTCGCATCGGGCTCTGTGCTGACTGCCAGCTCAGAGCCTGGAGCCTGTTTCAGAGTCTGTGACTCCCTCTCTCTCTGACCTCCCCTGCTCATGCTGTCTCTCTCTCTCTCTCTCTCTCTCCTAGAAATAAATAAAACATTAAAAAAAAAAAAGATTAGTCACGTCGTCTAAGACAAGGATTTTCAGACATTGGAGAATAAGCAACACAAGGCACAGCAGTCAAGGCAAGACTGCAATCAACCCCCGAAGGCAGGGAAATATGAGGTGAACCTCATGAAGAACCTGTCTTCCTGCCTGGGGAAGATTTCCTGATTGCAGCGTAGTGATCTGGAATCCAAGCAGAGAAGGGCAGTCCCTCTGAGCTGAAGAGGAAGAGATCAGAGTTCAGGCAACTGAAGCACTGGAATCTGAAAGGCAAGTCCCCTGAGAGGCAGGAGCTTTGCAATTTATATAAATATAATCATGAGTTTATACTGATACTTCAAATTCTGATCCAGTATCCTGAGGCTTTCCCTGGTCTTCTCTTACTCCATATCTCTGGCTCTCTTTTAGAAACTCAGTGTGAGAGCAGATTGGCAAGGTGAGTCACCATTGTCACTGTCAAGTCTCCTAGCTGAGGAAAAGCTTGCCAGCAGTAAAGTGAGCAGAAGGAGGGACGTGGAGGAGCAACATGGTGTGAAACTCTGAGAACTAATAACATAAAACTCAAACAATAATGGATTTGGTGAGAGACTGCACCATAATAAACAGACATTTGGGGGGTAGATAGTAGCATACTTGCCTCCTAGAGCTCCAACCATTATATTCTCTAACCAAACTGCCAAGTTATTTAACCGTAGTTTTATTTTTAAATTAAATAATGACCTCTCACTGCAGCTTCTTCATTGATTAGCTCTTTATTTTGATTTATTTCTTGGTTGTCTGGTGTCCACCTTTCAGCAGTTCTTTTGAGGAGGGCTCATGGGTGTGTTTTCCCTAAAGTCAATGACTCTCAACCTTGGCTGCATATTGTAATGACCTTGAGAGCTTCTGAGAAACTACTGACTTCTTGCTATCATCCCCGACTGATTCAATCAGGTTCCCTGAGAGTGTGATCCATGCAACAGTATTTTCTAAAGACCTCAAATGGGTCTAATGCACAGAAAAGTGAATATCTCCAATCTCAGAGAATTATATTAACATGCTCGCTCGGGGGAAATGGGGGGAGAAAAAAGACCAAAGGAAGTTGCAAGCAAGGGTCAAGAGAATCACCTGGGTTGAGAATCCCTACTTTATTATTTCAGATTTTAGAATTTGTTGTCTCTATCCTAGAGACTCCTTGGGTGGGCCTTTAACAGTTGGATCACATTTTTGTTTCCTCAGAACTTAAGATGTATGGGAATCACCTAAAACTCTGGCCACATACAGACTCTGATTCAGTAGATATGAAATGGCACTGAGACTCTGAATTGCTCATAAGCTCCTAAGTGTTACCAATGCTGCTGGTTCGTGAACCACATTCCTGAAGAGCAAAGGTTTAACCCTTACTCCTCTGTCTTCTGTAGAGAATACTGCTATGGACGAATCTAGAGCTTTCTGAACTTGCCCTTTTCCCACCTCTTGGGTGGCTTGATTCTTCTTCCTGGATGCCCATGTGATTCTCTCTATAATCTTTGAAATCCAGATTTAGTACTGTCACATGTATTAACAAAGTAAAGAATAAAAACTCCCACACTGACATTGCATTTGCTTCTGAACTTTTGTTTGTTTGTTTTAGTGCCTGTGAGGCCCAGATCTCCATCAGTTCCAGCTCTTCCTCAGGACTTCCCATAGGACTGGCCTGATGTCTGGCCTGCATAGTGATGGAGATTTCTGTTTCCCCTTCTACATATTCATTCCTACAGTAAAAATGAGGTAATTGGCATTAGTTTGTTCCTTGCAACCAAAGGAAATTTCTGAAAACAATTAGAAACCATAGATTTTAAAATATACAATATGAAAATAAAGATTGCATGGTATCTTATGTCAAAAAGCAACATAAATGCCCCCAAAAAAGTGTACTTATAATAATGGCTGACAGGAAGCAGGTCAAGGGCAGAGAAGTTTTCCTAATTTCAGTGTGTTTCTTACAGGTCACTATGTGAACCAGATTAATTCACAGATAATAAATAAGAGAAAAGGTAAGAAAGTTATAGTGTCAAAAAAGAAAGTGAAGAGAGACTAACAATTAAAATGATGCTAAAGGATTCTGAAAGACATAACCAATCAAAAGCTAAAAATTGAGAAATAAGAAAATCTTAAAGAAATAGTAAGGCAATATTTTAAACCAGGAGGATTATAAAAACTCATAAACAAAAGTACAAGATGGGCTATAAAATACGCTGAAGGAAGATTAGAACAAGAAAATAAAATTCAAAAGGAAGTGAGAAGGTTAAATTAGCTTTTAAAATTAAAATGAAGTCAGTTATAAAATAATTGTAAATGGATAAAATTCAAAATAAGAAAAGACTGAAATCCAGCAGGATAATAAGGAAGATATAAAATAAGAGATGAGATACTTGTTGAAAACATGAGAGTGAGATTAAAAATAAATATAATTAGATGATTTACACAGATTTAATAAACCATCAGAATATTTTTTAAAAAGTCAAAGTTTGAAAGTTAGAGGAAAAGAGAAGAGGAAAAAAAATGTTACGAAACGTAACAAGGAGTAGGAAGTCTTGGTGCTAATTATCTTTCCCCAAGAAGCAATCTTGTGGTGTCTTCAGGTGGCACCTGAGGGGACAGAGAGCAATGTGACACCCCGGTCACGGAGGCTTCCCCTTTGCTCCCCTCAGCAAGTGCCAAAGGCCAGCCTCACCAGCAGTAATCAGAGAAGACAGATAGGAGGTATTAATACAGCGACTCACAGCTGGATGGCACCAACCTGACTCAGGAGAAACTCCCTCGCCCGCCAGCTACATTCCCTCCTGGATTATCTCCTCCAAATTTAGCCCCCGTTCAGAGTCAGAGAAATGACTTTCTCTAGATTAACAACCTACAAAGCATTGGGTGTCGGCAGCTGTCTCACGCCTCTAGACAATTTTTTAGGAACTGTGGTACAGCCCCCCGATTAAAAAAAAGGCATTTATTGGGGGAGGGCACTTGTTGGGACGAGCACTGGGTGTTATGTGTAAACCAACTTGACAATAAACTATCTAAAAAAAGTAAAATTAAAAAACAACAACAACACACACACACACACACACACACACACAACGCATTTATTTAAACCATGCTTAGTGGCCATCTGCCCCATCTCTAGCAGTGTGCTAGATTCCAGAAATACAATGATGAGTTAGTAACAGAGCCCCCCCGAGCAGAGATCCTGACTCACTGTGTGGAAACGATAGTAGAGTTTTAATAAATACTTTTAACACGCTATCGCGGATTGCAACAGAAGGGCGGGCTCTGAGTAGGAGGGCCACCTTACCCTCTGCAGGGGTAGGAAGGGAAGTGAGGCTGTGGGGGGTGTGGGGGGGTAGGTAGGAAGGTAGGTAGGTAGGAAGGGTAGAGAGTTTGAGGATATTCCGCTGAATTCTCTTGACGAAGTGGGGGTCTTCCTGAGAGCGAGGAGTCTGGAGGCAAGAAGAGGTCTTGAGGTAAATGGGAGACAGAGGTCTGGGAGGGTCATAAAAGGAACTCAAGAAGGAGCTAAGAACAAGTAAACAGTCTGACACACAGCAGCCAGGGCCAAGCGCCAGGTGGAGGCTGGAGGTGGTGCCGGCATGAGTGACGGGGTTGGGGTGACCAGCTGTGGGAGACACACACAATTACTTACAATAAAATGTGAAGAGTCCCAGTGTGACAGGGTAATTTATTGAGACATTAATCCGTGTCTACCCTCATTGCATTTCCCCCTTACCTATTTTCAAGAATGACCTCAGGGCTATTTGTGTTAAGGAAGTTTGGGGTTAAATGCTTGAAGGAAAACCTCCTGCCAGGCTTCTAATGTAGAGGTCTTGAAGTGACCTCCTCCAGACTAATACTTTTACAGGTATGCCTCATGTGTAAGGAATAGTGTTTTAAAGTTGTTGTTTTTTTTTTAAATAGTTGGAAACATTTGAAAGTAGATTTTACCTTAAAATGTAGATTTCAGCCTCTCCTGGAAAAACCAGATGACCTGGCAATGCTAGGCTGCATTTTCATCTGGTAACAATTAGTTGGAGCTGAGTAACGTTTACGTCTTTAAAGGGGTTACAATCTCCAATTCCCTGGGGTCCCTACGGTTCCCTATGGCCTTACACTTAGCCAACACGACTAATGTAGGTTAGCTGCCTGTCCCTAGAATCCTCTCTCAAGTTGGAGGCATGTTAGGAGGAAGAAGTAGAGGCAGAAGCGTTAAGGCCTGTGGGGTCACAGGTCTGCTGTTTCCCTGGTGTGGCAAAGACAGAGGAGAATGGGGGCCCAATGCCCCTGAGGTGTGGCATCACCCAGCCTTGGCCAAGATTCCTACCCAGGAAGAAACCGAGAAGCTAGGGATTCCAAGCAGCAGGCATGGGCACTGACAGTTATCTGGGACAGGCTGAGAATAAAGGGTTCCTCCTCTGTAGGCATGGTGTCCCAGGTCCTTGTAAAATCCTGAAGCGGGGAGGCGTAGGGGAGCTCACAGTGACCGGAAATCGTATACCAGGGACTCCCCACCACAGAAAGCAGGCATGAGCCTTAGGGGAGGTGGCTTGAAGTTTCAACTAATGATAGAACATACATCATTTCTTGCACACACACACGTCTGTAAGATAAGATTTTAAACACCCAAGTGGAGATTTAAAGAAAGGGCTAAGAGAACAGGAAGCAAAGGAGTGGATGAGGTTAAGTTTTGACTACCGTAGTTTTGGAAGTTTTCACAGAGGAGATTTAATTTGAGCTGTGTGTTGAAGCATGAGTAGGAGGCCTCCAAATAAAAGCTATTTATTCCACTCAGACAAACATCTGAGAGTAGAAAGCGTATTTGGGGGCCTGCGGTAGTTCAGTGCAGCTAAGGCATTAGATGCCCATTTCTGGTTGGGGGAAACAGGAGGGTGTCGAATAAACAGGGGTGAAACCAGAAGGGAAGCTCATGCCCGTTTCCTGCGGTGGGGAGTCCCTGGTATACGATTTCCAGGCAGTGAGGCCAGTGCATGGGGAAAGGAAGACTGGACAAAGGCCACGGAGAAGACTTGCAATAATGCAGGTGAGAGATGATAAAGCTGGGAAGCAGGACAGTGGTTGTGGGAACAGAGGGGAGGATTTGGATTTCAACAGCCATTTATTGAGTGCTCACTGTGTGCCAGGTATTGTGCTTGGTGCTGAGCATACACTGATAAATAGATGATAACCGGCTCTTGCCTTGATGACACTCATTCACCAGGAACAAAGGTTACCACACCTGGCACGGTCAGTGAAGAGCTAAAGCATCTGGGATCGTCAAGCCCCGGTCCCATGTGTCGTGTATTCCATCATGGGTGGAATTCAGAGGCTCTCACATGGGTCTTCACATCTGAGGAGCCATCTGAGAGCTGAGATGCAACCTGCTGTGAAACTTACTTCTTCTACTACAGGGCTATTGTAGCCTGTTCTCTTTGACTCAGGAGATGGGAAAGTTACCAGAATATATATATATATATATATATTTATTTATACCAGAATATATATGTATTACCAGAATATATATATATATATATTTCAATTTCAAAGAAGGTATTTCAGTTAAGTAAATCATTTGTTAACATAATAAGTTGCAGTCATTTAGAATAAGATGAAATTGATATTAATTGTTAGGGGAACTCAGTTAATGCCTTAATACCATATCTTAATGCTTTAATGCCATATCTTACCATTTTGTCGTGACGACAAAATCCAACCAGCTTCCAAACCTCTCTGAGTCTTTTCCCACTTGCAAGTATAGGATGTTAACTGCCCTTAACTCCTTGCTGACATCTCCATAGCACACAGTACCTGGAACATAGCAGGTGCTTAGTAAGTGCTGAGGAAATGGATTCATAATATGGAAAAAGGACTCTTTGAGAGGGCCTGTGCTATGGTCTTTGGTGAGACAGTCAAGCTAAAGTGCTTGCCAGAGATGTTCATTCATTCATCCAGCAAATATTTATTGAGAATTGATACATGTTTGTTTATAAAAGGCAAATAGTTACCTATTTCCTGCCAGGTACCATTCTTGGCAACGGACAAAGGGATGAAGAAAACAAAGTCCCTGTTCATTCTAATGAGACACACAAGCAATAAACAAAGTGTGTGTGTGTGTGTGTGTGTGTGTGATGTAGACATATATATCAATATGCACACATACTATGTCAGGGGTGATACTTGCTATGAAAAAAAAAAGTAGAGTAAAAATAAACAATGATGGGGGAACTGGTATTTTATATATTGCCTTTGGGCTGCTCAGGTAGGGCCTCTCTCAAGAAGTGGCATTTGAGCAGAGATCTATAAAAAGGTGAGGATTGGGGCTTGAGGTTGGAATTAGCTATCCAGACCTCTGGGGCTGAGTGTTGAAGGCAGATGGATGAGCAAGAACAAATATTCTGGGTAAGGATCAAACTTACTCTCTTAGAAGACTATACAAGTATGGATCCAAGCGGGTGGGGGGAAGGGGAAGAGAAACAGGAGGAAGGACATGGGCACTGATGAGACAGAAGACATAGTCCTTTCACCTGGCAAGTGCCAAGTGAAAAAGAATCCAGTGCAGAGGGATATTGCTCACTGGCTGTCACAATAATAATTGATTGGCAAGTGCCTGGGAACTTGTGGGCTTTATTACAAGTTTTGAGCACTAGGATGGGTGATGAATTTGTCAGTATGGATCACTGCTGTATCCCCAATGCCTGGCACATAGTAAGCCCTCAGCATAAATTTGTTGAGTGCGCATCTGAAGTCTATCTTTGCTTTTTCAACTTTGAGGACATTATTAATAACTAAGCTGTCCAGGACATTATTCATACATATCATTAAAAGGCAAACAACAATGAATTCCTCTGGTGCTTTATGAACGTCTGTTAGCTTACAGCAGTCCGTCTCCAGGGTGGCACTCACTGTGCCCTTTCCTCCGGACAGTACACAACCGCTCCATGATGTCTTTGCAAATACTGGCACCTGACCTGTCCAAATATTACTGGCAACGCCGGCGATCGCTTTCCATCACAAGACCAAAACCGTATTTGCAAGAGGTAATGGTGCTTCCCTACTTTTGTTACACTGCTGGGTATTCTCGGTTATCTAAAGGGCATACGAATTCCAAATTCCTCCACACTACTCATATTAGATCATTTACAAGCATGCATGTTTCTAGAAGTTTTACAAAAATCAAAATAACGTGATCATTTCGAAAAGTGAGTGTGAGATTTGATCATTTTTTCCCCCTGAGAGAATCGACTTGTAAATATTCTTTAACGTAACAACAGCAAAAGCCATCCTTCAGCCACCGACTATATTAATTTCCTTCACTCTACTGCACCATGCAGAATCCGTTACTGACAGAAAATCACTTCCTTTAACTTTAAACGTTGCAGGGAAAGTCCCAGCGTATTTTATCACAACTAACTAAATCCCCTAATCAGTGGGAATTCAATTTGTCAAACTGAGACCAGCGAAAGATCCACCGCCTCCGCCAGCCCGGTTCATCGAGTCCGGGTTTGCCCAGATCTCCCCCCGACCGTCTGGGGTTTCTCCACGGGGCCGTGGCCCTGGACCTAAGGCAGGACGGGGTCTGGCCCCAGTCCCGGCGCCGCCGGGTGTGTCAGCCACCTCCCTCCCCCACAGCCGCCCCCGCTTCCGACCTGTCACTTCCCCCGGCCAGCTCGGGCTTGAAGTCCCCGCCCCAAGGCCCTGCCCTCCCCGGGCGGCTGTCGACCTTCCTCTAACCCGCGCCCAGAACGGCTGCGCGGAAACTGCTGTGTCAGAATGGTTCGAGGAGCCCGGAGTCAGAGTCAGCTTTAATTCGGGAGGAATGACTACCTAGGGCAAGCCCGCTCAGACTCAGCAGGGAAGACTGCGTCGCAGCTGCTGGGAGGACGCGTCCTCAACCCCACCCGGCCGCCCCGCCCTCCGCCCCGCCAGCCAGCTGGCCGCCCGCTCCCCGGGGGCTGCATCTGGGACGCGGTGGGCGCGGAGGCCAGTGCGCACGCGCGGAAAGTCGCGAGCGGGCGCCTCCCCGCCCCCGCCCCGCCCCCTCTCACGTGCCGCGCAGCGTGCGCCCGGGCATGTGCGGGCGCACGTGACAGCGCCGCGTCCGGCTCCTGCGCCCTTACCCCACACGGCTGTACTTTGAACCCCGGCGTGGGAGGGGGAAGGAGGGGGGGGGGATGGGAAGGAAAGCCGGCCGGGAGGGGACCGGAGGGGAGGCCGGCCTCCGGGAGAATGATATCACCGTCAGATTTATCGCTAGGCAACCTAAGAATGCTTCTCCCTTTCCAATCCTAGAGCTCCTTGAAGAACTGAAGGCTGATGACATTATTTCTCCCCCGCCCTCCCCGCTTTAATTCTCCACCGAGCAGCGCACGTACGGAGGTTTAAGGAGCTAGAGTTGGCTTACCAGTGTCTAAAGGAGTACGTTTCAAACACAGAGCTCAGAAACGGGTGCCTCATCGCGCCCACATCGCTCTCCAGATTTGAGGGCACACGGTTCGGTTTCTTCACCTGTTGGGTCACGGTCACGTGCAGATCACGCAGCTACATTACAGCTGTGCAGATGAGTTCCGTTCAACATCATACCCGAAAACCAAGCGTTGCTTAAGGTATCATAGAAAGAGAAGCCAGTATCCTTATAAAATGTATTATGAAGGAATTCTGTGATTACCCAAAGTAACTGAAAGTCTCCAGGAATAGGATCCAGGTTGGAGTTCCCCTGTGACTCTAATTTTCTAAACGCAGTACTGAACCTGTAAAGCCACATAGGACCTCCGTCAAAGAGAGGCAAACCATGAGAGACTCTTGAATGCTGACAAAAACTGAGGACTGATGGATGTGGGGGGGTGGGTGGGATGGGCATGAAGGAGGGCACTTTGGGGATGAGCACTGAGTGTTATGTAGAAACTAATTTGACAATAAACTATTTGTAAAAAAAAAAATAAAATAAAAAAATAAAAAAAAATTAATTATAAAAAAAAAAAAAAGCCACATAGGAAATCAACGTCTATTACGGGGCTGTGTGGCGGAGACTCGTACCTCAGTTGTGAAACATTTCATATTCTAGGTGTACACATGTGCATAGCAATACGTAAAAGACTTCAAATTGAAATTGTAGCTAAAGTTTACAACATCCTAAAAATACCCCAAGTAAACACTGTAGCAAATTGCCCTCTTTCGTGCTTCCTCCATTCTTTTATATATATATATATATATATTTTTTATTTATTACTAGGAGAGAGAGACAGCGTGAGCAAGGGAGGGTCAGAGAGAGAGGGAGTCACAGACTGAAACAGGCTCCAGGCTCTGAGCTGGCAGTCAGCACAGAGCCCGACGCGGGGCCCGAACCCACGAACCGTGAGATCATGACCTAAGCGAAAGTCGGACGCTTAACCGACTAAACCACCCAGGCGCCCCCTTTTTTTTTTAAATATATTTTTTTCTTACTTCCTACTTCCTCGATTCTAAATGTTCGTTTTGTCCAGATTCGTAGTTTGCTTTGATCCCTTCTTTCATGGAGAATCTTTACAGTTCCACCAGAGCCTTGACTATGTGTCTCCAGAATTTCTGTCTTCAGTTATTGCATGCTCTATGCCATGTTTTGGAAAGGCGTTACCTGATCATCTTTCCTTCTCTACCCACAACTATATTCCTACCTGTTAGTCCCTCACATGGACTAGCTCCATTCATGTCATGAGCAAAAGTCAAATTGTCCCGTCCTCATTATTGTTGCCATGGGGTAATGGCATAAAGAGCAGTGGACTCAGAACCAAAAAATCTGGTTCCAGTCCTCATTCTGCTACTTACTGAGCTGTGTGACCTTGGACTAGTTGTTTGCCTCAGCTTCCTCCTTGAGGTTTTGAAAAATAGACCTTAGGAGTCCTTGTTTCCTAAAGGACTGCTCTCTCTCTCTCATTTCCTCCTCCCGTGCTGAGTGGAGAACATGGATCATCACGCTCTTATTTGAAGGGAAAGAAGTCACCCTCAGTTTCTTCTGTAAGAAAGATCAGTGATTGAGGTGAGACAGAGCTGCTTGTGAGACACTAGGTGTCCCCCCCTCTGCTGCACTAAAAAGTATCATGCTATGGATGCTAGCCTTTGCAGTAGGAAACGTTATGGCCACTCAGTCCCAGCTCATGGCTCAGGTCCTCAAGACGAGATGATGGTGAGAGAGTACAGCAGCCAGGTTCTAAAGAGAGTAAGAAATCAGGAAATCCTTGCTCAGATTTTAGTCACATATAGCCAATTAAACTCCTGGTACTCAGCACAGGACCAGAGTATATCAGAACCTTCTCCCTGGAGCGAGCCCCATGGACTCACGCACCTGTTCGTTCTGTGAAGCCCAGCTACTGCTACTCTAGGCCTTCTCTCACTCAGGTGAAGGTAGCAGCCCTCACTCCCTAGTATTGTACCACCTCTGCACAGCACCTACTAGGTTGCATTCAGCTCTTTTAGTTTGGGTCTGTCACTTCCACTAGACTTTGAGATCTTCGGAGATTATTATTACTCTTTGGTTCTCCCGCACTATCGCAGCACCTCACGTATAGCAGGGGCAAACCAGATGCCTGCATCCCCAGGCCCACTGTTTGTTCAGTCTGTAGCCTCAGCAAGATCAGGAGTGTGTTGCAATCAGTAGGGAATCTGAAACCTCTTACCAGAGCTGTCAACGGCTGTGTCTCAAGTCAGAGGCAGCATCTGGGCCTACACACCCCCCTGACAGTTCCCCAGAATGTTCTTGCTGGACCTGCTACCCAAGATTTCTAAAGCCTAGACGTGGAGGCGGGTTACACAGCAGAAGCAGGGCCAGGGTCAGCCATGAATCAGAGTGCCGAATCCGTTTTTACTAATGACCCTTGGTCCTCTATTCCTAACAATCTGAGAGAAAGGAGTGTTCATCAGATAAAAGAATTTGTTTCTGGCATGGAAATTTCATTATTTTGTGGTTAGCTGTGGAATAACGCTGTTAGGAAGCTGCTTTTTTATGTAATAAGGTGATCAAAACTATATAAAATATCTGAGGGCTTTTGCTTAAGTGTTCTGATAGGGAATGTTGCCAAGCATGTGAAAAGTTAAAGAGATGCAGGAAGAAGGGTTAGGGGGAGAAACGTGTTAACTGATTCTATAAGCTCACACAATGTAGAAGAGTGACCCTCAGGTACTTCCATGAGAGCCTATTTATTCTCATTTTAGACACGTTTCAAATGGGTGTGGCTTTTGTTAAATGGTTTCCCAGGCCACAGTAAATCAGAGATAGCAAATTAGATAAGAGTTAGAGGCAAAGACTCTGACGCATCAAGAAGTGACAACTGGCAGCCTGATTGTGAGTAAAGAGACTGAAAAACCTATGAAAAGCAGATGTAAGAACTCAAAAAGTATTTAGTGCAGATGCAGTATTTTTTCCCTGACGACATGCATAGTGCGAAAGTGGTATTTATAATGGTGACCCTGCATTATCGAGAATGGTTAACTATGGATAGGGTATTTATTTTTAAGACATGTGTAAGGCAGTACAGAGGACCTGTGTAATATACTTTAGGAAGCTTTTCGCTAAAATAATTTAAGGAAAAAAGATAAATGAATAAACTTGAACATAGAAGCTTCAGTTTTCTGAATCGTTTCATGGGGCACATATCATTCCCTGAGGCCAAATAAATGGGCATCACTAAATTCAGAATTTTAAAACATCAACTTTTAAAAAGGTATAGTTTTACTTTGTTTCGAGTTTTCAAGATGGTAATCACTGAACTAGGGAAAGAAACCCAGTTTTAAGACAAATGGCCAACTCCTTCCTAGGAGCCTATTTTTAAGTACATGCTGCACATGTTTTTTAATATAAATCTCACCTAACCACAAGAAATATGTGATAATTTTCCACGTCAATCTCCTATTAAATTCTATGAAAAACTAGAACTCACAGTGGACTTTAGCATGCACTGTATATCCATTTTGAGCTTATGCAAAACAACATAGAAAATAAGTATTGATCTGAAGGTCCAATAGATTAAGCATTTTTGTTTAACAAGAAAAACTTCAGGTTGAAGTAAAATACTATTATCACAAGAGTACAGCCAGGTTTTGGCATTATAACGGCCTTAATTGGTTCATGAGGCCCCTGCTCATTTCTATCCAAAGGAAAAAGCCTTAGTCTGTTTGCCAAGCCTTGTCTTCTGAGGATCTCAACTGGCAATCATCTTCCATGGAGAGGTTCACAATTGACCTGTGACATATTCAGAAATTGTCTGGGGCCTTCTTTTACATACTTTTGAACCAATCTCAGTTGATGAGTAATAACCAAACTTATGGCCTGCATGGCCAATAACAATGAACTAAATGAAAGATAGTTTTCACAACCATAGGAACTAAAACTCCGGTCATACTTTAAATAGCTATTAAAATGTAGTTTCTAGTGCCTCAGGTCTTTGTGGGAGGAAAGGTCACTTATTAATTAAATATCAAGTTTGCTGAGAAATACATATATACATAAAATCAAGTGACATACTATATGTATAAAAGCATTCCTAAGTCAAGATCTGTATCTTAGACTGAAAAATTACATATCCTACAAAACATTTTGGCTAAAATTTCTTTTCTTCTTTTTCTTTTTCTTTTTTAAATAGCTTTTTGTCAAGTCGGTTTCCATATAACACCCAGTGCTCATCCCCACGAGTGCCCTCCTTTGGCTAAACTTTGAACACTGCAGGTACAGGATCATCCTTGGTAAATCATTACTGGAGTCATTACTCTAGGATTTTAATTCATAAAATAAATCAATTACCAAAATAACTTGATGCCATGTAGACAATATTACTTTGCAATCTGTCCTCGCTAACTTTATATTACCATGTGAGTATATAGGCATTTGGACTAAACAACTGATCTATAAAATTTGGCTTAACCCTAAGGATTTTTACTCTATTATGCCAAAATTATACAAATGCAAAAACAGTTTATTACTGTTTTCTGATTTCCTTTGGATCATTTTTTGGTTCTGAAACTGGTATGACTACAATAGGATATTGAAATGTGGCTCAAAATATTTAAAATGCTACTTTATCCTATTATTCTGGCTTAGACAACATTTTTCTAAAGTCCGATAAATAACGATGTTCCAAAATCCCACCCGTTTTCTAACGGTAATTTTTGTTTCCTTTGTTCTTGTGGTTTATTTATGACGGTTCATGAATGAAATCAATTTCAGTTTATGTGGCTGAAGATACTTCCAGTGGGAGGTAGTTTACTGAGTGGGGGGACACAATTGTTCAGGCTTCTTGTGCTACATCCAGCTAGCTGTTTGATCTTAGGAGGACAGATGATATCTTGGGCTTCATTTCCCTCAGATTCTAAAACGTAGGGGGCTGGACAAACTAATCTCTGAGATTCCTTTGACTCCACATTCTAGGACTTGTAGTTTCGTTGCCGTAAGTCAGCAGAGGGAGCACTCTTTCTACATCTCCTAAATTTTGACTATTCTTTCGACACCTTTCTAAAATCAAGGGGTTTGTGAACAACATTACTGAAACTAAAAATTGGCAATCCTTCACACAGTTTATAGTAAGTCACAAATCTGGTTATGAATTTGAGACAAGCCTCAAGATAATTATTTCTCTTCCTTGAATTCTATGATTAAGTTCCACAGGAAAATTATTTTATAAAGGTTAAAGAGCTAAAAATATATGGAGAAATTAAGCTTCCCTACATGACAGTGTATTTATACTGGACCCAGTGAAGGAGAAATACCAGGCCTATCTGGTATCAAGATGAGAAGTGAAAAATTTATCAATCATAAAAACAATATCAAATTGGGTCTAACATCAACAGACCACGCAAGTGATTGGAAGGTTTTTCTTTTGCACTTTTCATTGAGATACATTGGAAATAGGTAGGCAGTCACAGGCAGAGCCTGGAGGCTTGCAAGAGATTGGAAACGTGTGATACCAAGCCAATGACAAATAAAGTTCTTTATCTTAGAACGTTAATGACTTTCATCCGTACATTCATAGATCTCTTAAGACTAATTGAGCAGTATGTCTTTTTAATTATTAGACAATCTCATATCGTATATTAAAGTTTTTATTCCTTAGTAAGAATTTTAAAATCACAAAATAGTGTGGTAATATTTAGGTAATAGAATTTATGGAGTGCTGAAAATACTAGAATATAAAGATAATTTCTAGTTTATCTTCACATACTAAAACTTTCTAAACCAGCTGGTTTCTTGCAGACAGTATTTATTTTTTTTAATAATTTAAGACAGCATAAGCTTGTACCAAGCATAAGCATTGTAACAAAAGTGCAACTTTTCAGCAAATCCTCCCCAAAAGATATTTTAACTCAAAATATCATTAGCACATAGTTTCTCCCTACAAAAATAGCATGTCAGACATCATTAATTGGATGTATTAACAACTATGTACATAAGAGCCACCTTGTAGGCTAAGAGTTTAACGTTGTTTAAACACAGCGTTTGAGGCAAACAGTAGCAACAGCAGCAGCAAATGCACCAAACTGACTAAAAGACCCAGATATTTTCTTCACTTATAGTCAGACTGTTGTGTCTCACCCCTTACATAACATTCAAGTGAGATTTCTCACAGTGCTACCTTGGCAACAAACTAAAAATATCTAGACAAGGTCTTGGTTTAAGCCTTATTAAAAAAAGCTTTCTTTGTGATTATCTGGTATCTGGTTTGGTCTCCAGAAAATACATAGACTTGGAGATAGGAAGGCCACACAGGGCTTCATCCACATCTTTACAGCATTTCCAATCAAAACTGACCAGTTTAATGCTTTCCTCCACTTTTGTTATTTAACAGAAAGACTATAGGATAAATCATTTTGGACTTTTTTGTTTTTAAGTTCAGTGCACATTCCTTTTTTTTTTTTTTTACAGCAAGATTATAAAAACTTAGGAACATGGTGGATTAAATAATGGCAAGGTGGAAATAGATGAAATATATATATATACACACATACACACACACACATATACACACACACATATATATACACGTCGGGGTGAGTGTGCATGTGTGTGTGTGAGTGTGTGTGTGTGTGTCTATATATATATATATATATATATATGAAATTAAGACAAGTCAATTGAGTCACGGTCAATTTTTCAATAAAGTGCTAGTAAATGTACCAAGAATGATTCTGGCCTTCCTCATGCATCTCCTTCCCTGACTTAGTTCTGACAATGGCCAACTCCGCGTCTCTTTAAACAAGAGCAAGGTACTAAGGGATACCATTCAAACCACTTCAGAATAGGTTGCAACGCAAGTGGGTGCATCCTCACTTCTTCCTCTTTGAAAAATATATACCTTTTAAAAAGCTGAACGTTATAAAATACGGAAGAGTAAACTCAGTTCTAAAAGGTCCTCACTGTTTGTGGAAAGCCCCCCCGAAGCAGGCAGGACGGGGGGGGGGGGAGGGGGGGCGGCAGATAACAGCTACCTGCGGTTCAGGTCAACTCCTGGGCCACCTTGGCTCCTCCCCTGGTTCAATTAGCTCACCCACACAGCAGACCCTTCTCACTTCCTCCAGAATTAGGTTCTATATTTTAACAAATAATGGAACGTGGCCTAAAGGAAGGCAAAACTTATTTGGGGGGAAATTCCTTAAAGAAGAAAGTATCAATACTGCAGAGGTTCTTTGATAGCTGGTGGGGGAAGAAAGGGATGTTAGTGTGCGGAGGGTGGGGTGGCGAGGGATGAGCAAAACAGGAACTCCAAATGTACACAAAACACCTGTGTTGTTGTTTGTAAAGCCTGTCGTGCATCTATTACACTTCCTCCCTTAAAAACGGTAAGGGTGTTTTAACTTATTAATCGAATTACGCCGCGCGAACCGTCGTCCTGTCTAAGAAACGCGGCGAGGACTCAGGGGGCCTCCTTTCCCGGCTGCGAGGGGTCTTCCTGAGCGGAGCTCTCGGGGTTCCCGGGCTCGCGGGCGCCAGCGAAGGGCAGGTGGGTGCGGCCGTGCGCGTGCAGGGGGTGCAGCGCCGCAGGGGGCGCCACCTCGTGCGGCAGGAGGGTCGCGGCGGCGGCGCCGGCCTTCTCGGGAGGGGGCGACAACACGGAGGACAGGCAGGGGAAGGCGGCGGCGGCGGCGGCGGCCGCGGCGGCGGCGGCGGCGGCCGCGGGCGCGGGGATGCCGGGGTACAGCAGTGGGAACGGGGCGGCGGCGGCCGCCGGATACAGGTACTTCTCCAGGCCGCTCTTGTCCAGGAAGGGCTGCACGTAGGCGGCGGCCGCCGACGGCGAGAGGAAGTAGAAGGGCAGGCAGAAGGGGGCCGCGGCGGCCGCGGGCTGCGCGAAGGGCGCGCCCCCGCCTCCGCCGAACGCCACCAGCGAGCTGAGCAGGGCGGCGTCGGGTCTCAGCAGCGCGGCCGCGGCGGCCGGGTCGGGCCCCAGGAGCGCGGCCGCCGCCGCCGCCGCGCCGCCCCCCAGGCCGCCGCCGCCGCCGCCGCCGCCGCCGCCGCCGCCGCGGGAATCCAGCTTCATCCTCTTGGGCGCCGGCGAGTCCTCCCCGGGGGGCTCCTGCTTTATAGTGACGCGGCTCGCCGCGGCGCCTTTGCCCCTCTCGCGGTCCGGCCGAGCCTCGGCCTCGCCTCCGTAGCCGCTGTCGGTGTCCGTGTCGTTCTCGGCGGCGAGCTCGGCGCTGGGCTGAGTCCGCTGGATGACCGGGACGCAGTGGGCGAGGGGCTCAAGCTTCTGCCCCGCGCGCTCCAGGCAGGGGGCGGCCGCAGACCCTGCGGGGGCGGCGGCCGGGGGCGCGCCAGCGCCTTTGCTCAGAGGAACCTGTTGAGTCAACAGCTGAGGGGTGGGCAAGAACTGGGTGGCCACGGCGTGCAAGTGGTTGATCAGCTGGACACACCGCTGTTCCCTGGGCGTCCAGCTCTCAAACCGGGAGAGGTATTGCAAGACTTCTTTGGCGCATGTTTGAAATCCCGAGTGGAACGCATCCAAGTCGGACTGAATGGGCGATTTCAGAGATCGCTCCCCTAGGATGAGGAAGGGGTGGGGGTGGGGGCAGAGGAATGGAGACAAGAAGAAAAATACCGACGTTAAAACATCTGCTTATCACGTGGGCCCTACATTGACTAAAGTGATCTCGGTTTTTCCTCTGTATTCGGGTGATATAATCCACTGGTTGCCGGGGAGGGGTGGAGAGCAGGGGGGCGCTCTATTCCCAGCTGAAAAACCGAAGTGGAGAGCGCAGCCGCCACTTTAAATAAAAATCCGAGTTCTGCTGAAAGCCTCTAGGATGCTTCGGGAAATGGGCACTTTCCAAGGAAGGGAAAGTATAAGCAATTTAACAAATGAGTGCGCGCCCAGGGGCCCAAGGAAGCAGGAGGGGGTGGGGGAAGAGTCCTAACACTGCCCCTCTGTGGGCTACTCGGCTTCATCAGGGTGGGTTGGCCTCCCTGAACTGACTTACCATTCTGTAAAGCAATTATCTTCTGATGCTGCTGCTCGGTTAAGGCTGTTAAAGCTTTTAAGTGTTTCAAAGTTAATTCCAATACTACGGCCTTCTCCAGATGCCCCAGAGTCTGCAGTGGTGCAAAAAAGAAGGGGGCACTTTGGTTACTTAAAAACACACATCTGGCTTGATTGGCTCTCCACTCAGCACAGCAACTTAAGCAAACACTTTGAAAGAAGTACTATTCCTATACTTCTTGAGCTTTCCAGAAGACGAGTTATAAATGATTTCTTGCCTTCAGTTGTGAGCACCTAGTCTTGAGTTTGTGGGAAACTCTACACTACAGCCCAAGTCTAAGGCATATGATATTTACATTTATTCTTGTATCTCTGGGAGTAGTACCAAGCTATTAACACGCCCTTGGAGAGCAGCAAAGAATGAAAATGTGCATCTTACTGTCAACTTCAGATGTTCAGGCAGTAAATCTTTCAGCTGAGCAATGCATTCGTTAATTCGATCTCTTCTTTTCTTTTCTATTAATCTGTGCGGTAATTTGTAGGTATCCTTAATATACGACAATCATGGAAGAGAGAAAACAATAAGCTAAACATTTATTGGATAAAACAATACCCCTCCCCAAGACCCCCATATTATGTGATAAACTCTGCCGAGAAAGCTTTTCCTTTGGACTGTTCTGAAATGCAGTTTGAATTCAGGTATGATGTTTAATCTCCCCCTGAGAGTATCCAGCCAACCACTTAAAATTCACAGTTGGGGAAGCTCAAGGGCTGGAATATATTTGCGGGCAGAGCTTCGCCGTGAAATCAATGGCCCTAATTAACTATCCAGGCAGGTTATGGGGAACATCGGAAACTTACACTTACCTTGCTATCGTCTCGCTTCATGCTCCTTTTGGGTTTACACATATACAAAGAGGAATAGTCCAGTCTGCAAAACAGAAATCAGCATCAGGCACCCGTTCGGGGAGGGGCACTGCCCTTGCCCGCTCCATACCACTTTCTGGAGAAGAAAAAAAAAAAATCAAACTGAAGCCTAGACAGATATTCCCAAGGGTGCGTGCACCTTACCCTATAAAATCTCTATGTTCCAGTAACTGTCTCTCTTGCAAATGAGGAATTCCTTCGTCCATGTTCAACCGCTGTCCGTTTCCTCTGTTTCGATTTTTGGGGTTCTGTTTTATAATCTGTGGGACGATAGCTTTGGGAGATCTTGGGGGGATCTGTGCGTCTCCAGTCTGTCTCTCTCTCTCTCTCTCTCCCTTCTTCAGTGCAGTGTTGAAAGTGTGAAGCAGTTGGTTCCCCCCCTCCCACCGCGCTCGCTCTCTCGCACACACGCACACACACGCACGCACACTCGCGCCGGCCCCACTGCGCTGGTAGTTTGCTCTCACTCCGGGCAGTGTTTGGCCACAGGGCACGCGCGTCGCCGGCCAGACCAGCACCCAGCTCACGTGCGGAACGTACCATCCGCGGTCCAGCCCGGAGGGGGGCGGGGGAGGAGGGGCCGGGCCGGGGGGGGGGGGGGGGGGGGGGGGGGGAGCAGGCTGAGAGGGAGGGCGAATGGCGGGAGGGGGCGGGGACACCTGATCAGGGCCACCGGAAAGGAAAAACAACTTCAGCCAAGCTATTCATCTTCCCAAAGGCGTTGCAGTCAGCTAGGGGAGGAGGAGGGGGCGCCGGGGGTGCGGGGCAGCCAGGGCTTCCTGGGGCTCGGAAATGCTACTCCCTCAATTCGTCCGTCATTACGGTGCAGGAACGTGAACGTGGCTTTTTGCTTCGCCACCGACTGCGCTGTTGGTTTGGACCAGGAAAAGGAAAGAGAAAGAGAATTCGCGGTGGGTAAACTTCAGTCCCGAAGGAAAATTTGGAGACTTGTTTGCTCACCGCTCAGCGGCCTGGGGGGCCCTGGCCGTGGTTGGAGGTTGCCCCCTAACGGGGCAACGTGAAATCCGCTCCGTGAAGGATTTAAGATAAATGAAAATGTAGTCACTGGGTCAGAATGTCGCCATCCAAGTGTCTTGCGGCGACACGGTGTCCCTGATCCACCCAAACTTCCCGCAGCAGCCGGAATTGCGGTGCCACTAATCACAGAAGCAGATGACGACGTTTGGGGCCTCTGGTGCTCCCAGAGGAACGCGGCGGGGGGGGGGGGGGGGGGGGGGGGGGGGGAGAGGGTGGCATGAGAGGGGTGCCGCAGAAAAGCAATGCAGCTTTCTCTCTCGCCAGCTAAACTCCGTCGCCCCTCGTCGCCTGCCTCGGTTGGGGCTGCGTGCTTCTCCTCCTCCCCCCCCCCCCCCCGCCCCGTGTGATAGCGACGCTGGGAGTGTGCAGAGCCCACGTTTACTACCGCTGGCACCTCCAAAGCCTCCCTCCTTAATCCTGTCTCAAACGGGTACCAGCACAGGGCCAGCAACGTGATCCGACCTGCCGCCGCTGCCACATCACTGCGCGGGGAAGCCGTGCGCGCGCGCGCGCTCGCCCTGGGGCCGCGGCGCCGGGCGCTGGGAAGCACAGCCTGCACGAGCCGGGTTACCTTTTCCCAGAGCCACCCCGGGAGCATGACTCACTGCTAGCGAGAGTTACCGAGAGGTGCCCAGAGACGCGCGCGGCGGCCCGGGGCCTGGGAGGCCAGGGGCAAGCGTGTCCTACGGGACTCCCAGGGCGCCCGCCGCGCTGCTGCAGCTGCCCGGCTCTGCGGGGGGTGGATGGAGAGGATACATGCTGATCCCTCTTATATAAGTACAGAGACCTCAAACCAAAGGTCTTTCCTTCCTGCAGCAAGAGTGAGATTCACATTCTGAGTTCTCCCCGAAACGTTCATCGCTGCCAGCGGCACGTGAACCAAGGAGAGAAGTACGCCGACAGCACACGCACCCGGGCGCAGCGGGGACCGGGGCCGTCGTTCCGTGTCGGCCCCCCCAGGCCCCCTCCCCCCCTTCCCGGTCCCGGCCGGCCCCGCAGAGCGCGGGTTCCGGGGACGGATCTGGGTCGCGGGAAGCGGCGGCTGGGAGGAGGTCACGTGTCCGCGGGAGGCGCGTCTCCTCCCCGCCTCCGGGAGCTGCCCGGGCCGCGCGCGCCGCTGCTGCGGTCTCCAGAGTCCTGGGCGGAGACGCGCCGCGTCTGGCTTCGTGACTCCCGCGGCGGCGGCGGCGGCGGCCCGGGCTCACCCCGGCAAGAGGAGACGCTCGCGGTGCGTCCACTTGGTCTGTGCAGAGCGCCCGTTAAGGTCTCTCGACGACGTAGTTTGCACCAAACAGGCTATTTAATAATGGTTCACACTTAAATAATTTTTCAGTACTGATTTTATCTTAAACCTGGATCCGGTCTCCCGCTCGTTTTCAAGTCGTTGGGTGGTTAATTCTCGTTAGTGCGGAGGACAGTTCGATGCACTAAGGCGGCACATCCCTGCAGGACTCTCCGCTGGGAAATTGGCCAAGAAAGGGGGTTGGGCGCGGAGCGGTCGGGGAGGATGCCTTTAAGGTGAAAGCTTCCCTTATAGGTTTGTAAATGTTGGAAGTAGGAAGAGCTGTACATATTTGCTCCACAGCTAAATTTTCGCTTGAAAAGGATAGCTGGAGTTTTGAGTGAAAATAAAATAAAGACTGATCACTTCATCCATCCCGGCCTTGTCGGCAGAGCGCACGAGACACAAGGCAGACGTCTGACTAGGGCAAACCTTAGGGACTGGTTCTGGGGCGGACTCTAAAGCGATTTAGAATAGAAGGAAAAAGCGGGGGCGGGGGGGGGGAGAATAGGAGGCAAAGAGAAAGAAGACTAGTAGATCATGCGTGTGTTAATTTTGTATGCACACTTCTCATAATTTGAAGACCTAAAGGCCTGTTGCTGCAAATGAAGCCTTACATGTTATTACTTTGGTTTCCTCTCCCCCTCATTCCGTCCCAAGCTTCCCTACTTCTGTACACATTTTTGTTTTCTCTTCCATTCCTTTCTCTTTGTGAATCCCAGCCCAAACTGCGAATGCAGTCATTTCTAATTTTTGGTTTCCTTTGTTATTATCAGTTTTCCTTTTCTTCTTTCCTTTCCATGTCCACCATTTTACTCATTTCTTTTTTTCTTCATTTCTTTTCCTCTTCCTCTTCCTGCCTTTTCCCCATGAAATGCCTGCATTTGCTCTTTCTCTTTAGTTTTTCTTTTATCTCTTACTGAACTTTTGTCTTTTTTCTTTAACCATTCGCTTTTTTTAAAATATTTTTTTATTTATTTCTAGGAAAGAGAGAGAGAGAGAGAGACAGTGTGAGCAGGGGAGGGCCAGAGAGAGGGAGATACAGACTCTGAAATAGGCTCCAGGCTCTGAGCTGGCAGCCAGCACAGAGCCCGACGCGGGGCTCGAACCCACGAACCGCGAGATCATGACCTAAGCGAAAGTCTGACGCTTAACCGACTAAGCCACTCAGGCGCCCCTCACCATTCGCTTTGATAGCTCTTCTTGCTTATCCACTTCCTTTAAAACCTGCGCCCTTCTCCTCAAACTCTTGCCTTCTGGAATATGAAACATAGTTTAATGCCTCCTAATATCCTTTCCTGCAAGGAGGGTATAGCAATAGCTAACAACTTCATGGCATTTAGAATTAGAGAACCAGAAACTACACTAAGGGGCTTTTAATGTATGAACTCGTTAATTTTTCCCACAACCTTATAAGGTAGATACTTTTATTATCTGCATTCTACAGATGAGAAAATAGATTTGTAGGGAGATTTCAAAAATGTGCCTATGCTCCCAGACCCAGGAGGTAAGCACAAGTGGGCTCCAGAGTCTGTGCTCTTAACCATTATTACCCTTGCTGGGGTAATAGTACCAATAGGGAATGTTAACTGGCTGTTTAAAGGATGTTTAAAAAAATTTACCAGTGTCCGGGTGCCTGGGTGGCTCAGTCCGTTAAGCTAAGTGTCTGACTCTTGGTTTCAGCTCAGGTCATGATCTCACAGTTTGGGAGTTCGAGCCCCGCATCGGGCTCTGCACTGACAGTGTGGAGCCTGTTCGGGATTCTCTGTCTCCCTCTCTCTGTGCCCCCCTCCCCCGCCCTCTGTCGCTCGCTCTCTCAAAAATAAAAACTTTAAAAAATTAACAAAAAATTTACCATTGTCAGTGTGCACAGTTGTTGGAGTGGGGATGGAGACAGTGCTGGAAGAGAGGTGGGAAAGGGGGGCATGTTAGCATTGGGATTGAGAAAGGAAGGTATGAAGAAAAGAATGCTGGCAATCTTTGTTCAGTGAGTGATTCAGTGGGCATCTAGCTCCAACTTTATTGATTTAAACCCAAATATCCTAGTTAATTGTTATAATTTCAGGCAGATGGACACAAAGAAGTACAGTGTAGACGAGGCTAATGGGTAACCAGCTGTTCATCATTTCCACTGAGCAAACCAAGCCAAATCTAATGTGAAGACTTTGGGTTAGTAATAGGAAAAGCTCACCTGTGGTGAGGTTAGAAAGGACAAAAAAAAAAAAAAAAAAAAAAAAAATCCCCTAACAAAGGAACAGAAGACTAGAATGCCCTCTTTGGGCATGTTTAAAAATAGGTTGAGTCTTATCTTTTTGGGAAGATTTAATGCTGTCCTGCCGAAAGCCAAGGAGATACAACATGAGCTCGAAACCCTTTTGAGCCTATAATTAAAGAATTCTGTGATGGCTTGCTTTCAATTAAAGATACCCCTCCTTCGCCTTTTTAATAGTGAAGCCATTTCCATTGCTGCTTCCATTAGGGAAATCACTACCTATGGAAACGCTAATGAAAGGGAAGACTTATCCCAGTTCCCACCCCTCCCCCCACTCTCCTGTAAGTATTCAAAGCACTGCACTCATCATATTCCCCTTGCAACTTTGGAAGGTCTTAACCATACTTGCTTTCAAAGTCTTGGATTTCCAACAGAAACTGAACTCTCCTGAGAGGATTAAAGTTTCCATAGAGAAGAGAGGTTTTCTGCAAGACCTGCCACTCTCCTGGAAGATGACTATGGTGTTTCGGGGCTTGCGGTTTGATTCAAACTAAGCACCCATCTCCAGTAGCCTTAAAGACCCCAGATCTGCCCAAGAGTATGGACCTTCTTGCCTGATCGGCAGTGAAAACACCCCATTGGGTAGACAGATGCCTTTCTTAGTCACCTCTGTTTTGGGTGGTGGACAAAAATATATAGTCACTCTATATCATTTTACATCAGAAAGGGAAATACGCCCCACTAAGCAGAGTTCATAAACATTGAAAAGTTTAGGGTTGATGCTAAAAGGAAGGGAGGAGGCAGACAGAGTGGGATGATAGATAAGGGACCAGTGAAAGCTTCCCCTGGAATCCTTTCTCTGAGCTTGTACACCACTCTCAGTGACAAGTCAGTATTGACAAGCACAGCACGGAAAGAAGGCCACCTCACAGACGGATCTTAGTAGGGAGGGAAACCCC